TATAAAATGGTGACAAAAGTGCTCACTTCAGCAGTGTCTACTGACAGATAACTAATACAGTAATTAAAGTTATCTTAGCTGCATCATTATAGAAAGAAGAAGAAACATATCTAAGATGTGTCTTATCAAGAAAGCTAAAAAAAGGGGTAACAAGAACGAAAAAAACAGCTACATATAATTTGATGAAGCTTTCAATTGCCCTGTAGCGCGGAACCCATTTATTCTGTTTTCTGAATTCAATTTCTAACCATTCTCATACAGGGGAAAAGGGAGCCCGACCCCTGTTATATTTTGATTTCCAAAGTGTATGAAAGCGAACTTTCTTTTTTTCTCTAATCCATGTAAGAATAGCTGTAAAAATAGAAAACACAGGGGAAGTTTTTAGTTCGTCGCCAAAGTCATATTTTACCGAGGGTTATTTTAAGGGGTTATGGTAGAGCGACAGGGTATTTTCGATTTAAGGTATTCAAGCTCAAAAACACGCTGTACTTATATTCAGACGGCTTTTAATCCCGCCTCTGGCTTTACATTAACTAATCCCCTTTTACCCTTTTTCATAACTATAAGACGACTTTTCTATAGCCTAACATTCGGGACAATCATTTCAACGGAAAAAACCATTTAGTTCACCCTATTCACTCCATGAAAGAGTGATTATTTCATTCCCTTTTTATACTTTCTACTCACGATAACCATTTCCACTCTCTCCCCCGCGAGTCTTCTATATCGTGCTTAGTTCCCACTACCGAATATCAGACTGTTCAACCTGTTATTTTGTGGGGAAATACATTTCCTTGCATTGCGTTTCCTTGCGCATTGCTTTAGAAAGTCACTTTGGTGCACGGACGTCAGGAGCTAATTATAAGGACGACATAATCATAGATAAGTAAAACCGTCGCAGTCATGGCAGTGAGAACATGACTGAGGTCCCATGCAATAATTATGACCCCCTCACTTTCTTTCTCGTTGCCCCCCTTTTTTCTCGTCCAAAGACTGGTTGAGCTCGGAGGCATTCATTAGCCCAAACTCGAGAAGGCTATTAAAGTCAATTTCAGAAAGTCGATCAGTCATTTCTCCAACCGTCAACAAAGACCGCTTGGAAGTCTAGTCAAGACTTCGACAATGACCACCGGGCACTCTATTTACTGATTTCTTCTTCCACTCACCACGCCCTCTTTACAAACGAGCGAAACTGTATACGTTAGAGAATGAGAAAGAGAGAGAGAGAGAGAGAGAGAGAGAGAGATAGAGAGAGAGAGCGGGGAAGTGGGAGGGGGAAAGATGAGAATGAAACCAAATTTTAGTTTGCAGTCGACATATAAATCGAAAGAGATAATTATATATATATTTATACATATATATATATGTTATGTGTGTGTGCGTATGCGTGTGTGTGTGTAGCTATTTATCTATTTATATATAGAAGTAGAGAGAGAAGGGGAGAGAGGGGGAGAGGAAGAAGGTAATAGGAGAGAAAATGAGAAAGAAAGGGAGAAATGGAGGGATTGTGTTTGTGGTGTGTGCGTGTGCGTGTGGGTGGATATAGAATAGATGGTTGTGAGGAGAGAAATGGAGGGCGGATGAGTGAGATATGAAGGCAAGACGACAAATGAAAAAAAGGTGGTAGGAGAGGGTGCTTCTATTTTCTGGGTAAGAAAGGGCGGGAGATATAGGAGAGAGAGATAGAGATAGAGAGAGAGAGAGAGAGAGAGAGAGAGAGAGAGAGAGCTGAATATACAAAAACTCTAAAGTGCAGTTGAAGATCAAGCGCAAAGTCATCGGGTAAAGCAAACAACAAGTGTAATTGAAAAGTGGGATGACTTAAAGACAACTTAATCTCTCTGTATAAATAGAAGAGTTGGGTTTAGTAAATAGTATGTTTAATGAAACCCTTTTCTTTGGGTGTTATGTGGTTAATTGAGTGCTGACGCAGATGTGAGGGAAATATGGATAGAAATTCAAACAAGAAGTGTCAACAAAGTAAGATGAATACCGTGTTCAACCATCTCCATGATCACGGGATAAATAAACCGATTTATATCAAATAAACGTCGTACTTACAAACAAAGATCACAGGCGTGGATAATTCTAAGCCACTGTGTCCCTATTTCTATTTTCTATATTTATTCCTTTTGACTTAGAATTCAGAATGCTATTTGTTAATATGCAAAGTCAATTATGTTTCTTTTTTTGGCAGACAGAATGACTAAATTAAAACCCAGTTTGTTAGATTGTTAACGCTGAATATAAGAATGGATTTTAAGTCAGATAATGCTTGAGTTAGTAGAAAAGTTTCCGTCTTTGTACTGGAGTTACTGAATATAACTTCCATTCAATTGGCCACATAATAGTGAGCACAAAAATCAGGCAGTTCTCTGAACAAGAAATATCTCAGTAAAACAGCAATAGCGTGCAGAATATCAACGTTTTAATTCTTTCTTCAGAAATAAATCTTTAAAAAAATATATATTTTTTTCATTTTTTAATATAAATGGACTATAATTATAAATGAGTTACTAGAGAAGGGTGCAAAGGATAACGGGGTGAGCACGAAGGACAGACTACTAATTTTAAGTTATGAAGGTGGTATCTACTTTGTTTGAATAATAAGTAAATAAAAGTTTACATCATACAGGGTAATGTTTATTTAAAAGAACAAATGAAATTTGTTTCTTCAAGTCAACTGTACATACACAATGCCGTGGCGACGTGCCGTTCATAACGTGCCCGTTTCACATGTCTTTTTCATGTCATTCAAAAATATCCCGCACTTTTTAAAATCTTGAATAAAAAGGGTAGTTTAATACTATATATTGAATAGAAATATAGCCTCTATTATTTGGTAAAGAGTTTGATAGTAAAGACTGATTCATTTCATAATCAAAATTGTGAAACTTAAAAGCTCTCCCTTCCTCTCGTTCTGAAAAATGAAATCACTATTCTAGACTACCCCATAAAAGCTTCGATATTTCTTAAATGTTATGATAAGCTCAATCTTGTATTAATTTGGATTCAGAATTTCTTCCGGGTATTTTTCCCGGAAGGTGGCTAGTAAAAGAGTTTTGAGAAAAAATGACGAAGGAAAGAATAATTGTAACAGAAGTTAATCCTAGTTGACGCCTGCTTTAAAAGCATGCGAAATTCTCTTGTGAGCTATTTCTTTTGGTTTTCTATCGGACGGGGAAAAACAGAAAGGGGTCCCTTCTCTCAAAAGAGAAGGAGAAAGAAATGAAAGCAGTAAACGCTTTTTTCTTCAAAACCGTCTGACCACAAATTGATGTTGTTGAAATTGATCTAAGAACAATATACTCTTGGCGAATTATGGCTGAGCAAAAATGAATTCATAGATGGTACTTTATGGATTAGTCATAGGTCTATATTTTACATGATTTTGTGGTATGATTAATATAGTTCTTGATGAAAGACTGTAATATCCAGCACCTGTCATAACATGACGCCCTTGGAACATGGCATTCAGGAGCTAGTTGCCTGTAAAGTGTTGTTTTGGCGTGCAGGTTTGACACAGACAGGACAGAGTGAGGTGTATATTTTAATATCAATTTTGTTGTTCTTTAACACGTTCAAGGTTCTTTCATTGTTACCATCACTATCATGAATGTAAAAATATGTATGATATATAATATGATGATGTAAATACATTCCACAATACACACAGTTATATACAAGTAGCGTGCATCATCATCATCAGTAACATGTTCATCAGCACAGTCATGATCATCATCATCGTCATCATCGTCATCATCATCACCAGAACCATGATCGTAATCACCATCATAACGTGTACCATCATGATCTTCCTTTGTATCATCATCATCATCGCCACCACTATCACAATCGCCATCAGCACTTTCATCACCATTATCATCATAGCCATCATCGTCATCATCATTATCATCACCATCACCATCATCATCATCATCACCATCATCATCATCATCATCATCACCATCATCATCATCATCATCACCATCACCATCATCATCATCATCATCATCACCATCATCATCATCACCATCACCATCATCATCATCATCATCATCACCATCATCATCACCATCATCATCATCATCATCATCATCACCATCATCATACATCATCATCATCATCACCATCATCATCATCACCATCATCATCATCATCATCATCACCATCATCATCATCATCATCATCACCATCATCATCATCACCATCATCATCATCATCATCATCACCATCATCATCATCACCATCATCATCATCATCATCATCATCATCATAATCATCATCACCATCATCATCATCATCACCATCACCATCATCATCATCATCATCATCACCATCATCATCATCACCATCATCATCATCACCATCATCATCATCATCATCATCACCATCATCATCATCATCACCATCATCATCATCATCATCATCATCATCATAATCATCATCACCATCACCATCATCACCATCATCATCATCATCATCACCATCATCATCATCACCATCATCATCATCATCATCATCATCACCATCATCATCATCACCATCATCATCACCATCATCATCATCATCATCATCACCATCATCATCATCATCATCACCATCATCATCATCATCATCATCATCATCACCATCATCATCATCATCATCACCATCATCATCATAATCATCATCATCATCACCATCATCATCATAATCATGATCATCATTGTCATAGTCACCACCATTATTACCATCATTAAGCATTATCACTGCCATACTCCCTCCGCAAGCACCTCGTAGCCGTTCATTCAATGATAAGTGAATTTATTACTCTCGTTGCCAGAACACAATTTTATCTAAATTGTGCCACCACCACCACCACCCACACCATGCATCTAAATTATAAAGCAAATATGCGTAACACTCTTTCCCACAGTGTGTGTCTTTCTCACAAACATTACCCATCTTACAAATTCTCAATCAATACACAAATACAGAAGATGCTTGCACATCAATTATCTCCTTGGTCCATGAAAAATCGAATCTTTTAATAATTCACCAAACAAGCTAGTACATAATCATTCTTATATCACAATTTTAGCTCTCGGAAATATTCGATCAAGCTCTGTGTTTACCCGCACATAGATGCTTAAAAGTAGAGAAAAGAAACTGAAGAAATCGAAACAATAACTCCATTGGAAAAATACCGACAAATTAGCAAATCCAACTAAAATTACGGAATATTTTTCCTATAGCTACAAAAAAACGCCCCTATGGGGCAAATAGATTAACAAGCACCAAATAATTGTCTCCATATACATATAATATCAATTAATAAAATCTATACACGAAAAAACACCATAAGGAATTGTACAATAGTGATAGTTACGATGTTCATTTGCTGCAAATGGTATGACTTTATCATAATATTTCAGCTTGAATTTCTCTATAAATATGTTTGTCAACGTGCACTGTTTAGAAACGTGCTAATTTCGTGATCGTAATAAAAAGCTCATCTGCAATCAAAGTCAAATATTTGATTTTAATCAAATAATCACAATTTCTTCCTCTTCCTCAGCAGATCCAACGCCATCTTACAAGTGATACAATCAGCAATTTCTATCTCCTTGAAAAATCACACGTTTTTTCTCCCAGATAACAAAGACTCCTTTTTCATCTTACTGGTACAATACCAAGAACCTGAGATCATCATCTTTCTAAAAAAAATCTAATAAATAATCATCAAGCGTTCATCTATGCAAAGCATGTACTTCAAGGTGATAATCGTTACAGCAAATCATGTATGGAGAACTTACAGCAACTTAACATGAATGGGACCTACGCTTACATTTATTTTGCCTCATACACCGAGTTTACCGCGGCAAAGCAATGATTGTTTTGCTTGGGAACGGTGATTTTGGGAGAAAGAGGCGACATAAAATACCAGAGAAACACAAAATTAAAAAGAAAGGGAGACAGCAAGAAATAAAGATGGACAGAATAGGGAGAATAGATATATAGCGAGAGAGAGAGTGTGTGAGGGAGAGGGGAGAGAGAGGGGGGGAGTAAGTGTTTGAGAAGGGGAGCGTAATCAGACTTTAGTTCCATTATGCATGAATCATTATCGACCCCTGTTTGAAGAAATAACATCTGTAGCTAAATGCCCCTTTTCCTTCTCGCCAATTGACCAGAGGAATGGAGGAAAATTAGCGGGAAAAGCAGGAAGCTTTCTTGACTAGCTTCACTATCCACCATCATCGTTCAGTGTGTAAGAATACTGATTCAACATTTACCGTGAAATCGCCATCATTATAATCGAATTTTAGCTAGGCTAGTCGAGCGGCTGAGAGACCGGGGGAGAGCAAGCTCTGGGGTACCGTTCAATAGGCGCAATATGTAGAACAAACAATGTTATTGTATCCGTCCAAACATTGAGATTTACTGCGTTGTCAATTTGATATAACAAATTTTTTTTGTTCGTGGAAAATAAAATATAATAAATAAGGAAATGGCTAAGGAGAAGTAACAGTTATGACGACGGTGGATATAATGAATATAACTCTGGAAAATCTAACTTTAACATAATTACTCTGATTTTCGATTTTTCGACACATTTTGACGAATCATTTATTTCAATTATCAAGGAGGAATTGGTATACGTTTACAAACATCTATGCTTGTTAACTGATTAATAGAAACTCTGATAAATGTCAGATTATAACAGATCAAAATGAATTGTACCAAATTTAAGCCGTGATTGTCTCTTTACACTATAACATATGGGCCACATTTTATTTAGGTTTCAATTCAAAGTATGGGTATTGTTTACATTTGAAATTTATCATAATAAATTATACCGTCATGGAAACTCAGTCCTAACAATAATCAAAAGCGGTCAATGCGGTTTACAGAGCGTCTTTAAAAAGTAAATTGGAATTCTAAAAAAGTATCTAATTATTGTTAAAAGATTAGGCATACCAGCATTTGATACCAAACAATGCAAGTTACTAACGGATTTTACAGAATCGAATAAAAATGCACCGTCCTGAAATTAGAGGTTAGAATAAGAATTACTCGAATGGCGGAGTAGCCAATATGCTGTTACGGGCGAGGTAATATAGTCCTACTTTCACCGCATATTCCTCCGCGACCGAGTCTTCCTTACGGTGAAGCTCTGCGGTGGCCATGAATTAAACATTACTTGCGCCCACGTGAGAAAACAAGCAGGGAATTAGCCTTTAAAATTCGTCATCCTTTCTTGAATGGGCACGATCTTAAATTCAATTTCAAATTCCAACCCTTCGTTGTCTTCTGCCCCGTCTCCTCCCTGCATTTACCGTTGACACGATAACCGCTCATGAAGGCGATAAAATGTTCCAATCGATTTCACTTTACGCTGCATTTAACAAGTGAACGATTCCACTAAATGTAGCAAGAAAATACACACTCTTGTTGCAAATTTTCTCCGTTTAAAGTTTCGCCATTCCAAGGACAATTGATTTAGTTATGGTAAAAAGGTGGTGACTTATTGCTATCATAATACAATTACCAGAATAAACACAATGATCAATTCAAATTGCCTATTTGCATCGTTCGTGCTGTGGAATAATTCAGGGTGCATTGAGCGCTGATTATTATACATTCTGCTCGAAATAAAGGATGTAATCACTGCAGAGATTTTAAAATGACTCAAAATATATTATACTAAAAATACTACAGTTGCGTAAAGGTGCGATGTGTTTGCTACATTGAAAATTGTCATAAACCACTATTACTTTCAAGTACAATACGTGCATCATGATTGATTTCGAATCGTCGCCCTTGGATTAAAATGAAAGAAAAAAACTCGAAAAATTGATTGTCATGGCAATATAATTGTGGTTTATATTACAATCTGGTATAATCTGCAACAATGCCATATTACTCAGTTTCAAACGTTATGCGAGCTCATTCTCCACAGCCGATTAAAAATATGAATAACTTTACAGGAAATGGTTTAATATGATACGTGTCAGTGAAAAAATATCATTTGTCTCTCTATTCGTTATAAATAACGCCATATTTTGATTTTACATGAGGCATGATACATCCATGTATAGGTCAGTTGCTGATAGAATTAATTTTGATTTCTTTCTTGTAAAATCTTATAAGCAATATAATAACAGAAAGAAAAAAAAAATCAAGTAAAACTTTACAACATACATTCGGCAAGAGGTTAAGAAAAGGTATACTCAATCACGTTTAGGTGTCAAAAAAAAATCTTCAACAAAAAAAATGATCAGGCTATAGAAAAATATTTCTTTCTAGCCAGGCTTTAGTGTATAATTGCTTATATATCACAGGACCAGGATGTATTAAAAGCCTCTCCGCTTTCGTGAAGGTCGTGAATTAACATAGATGTCTAATTGAAATGACTTGCAGGTTGTATGGACATCATACTAGACCGGCGCCACTTATGTCTCTGCACGTATATAGGCGCCATAATTATCACGTGATCACGGTGTCTCCGCCTATCAGGAACGCAGCTTGAAGTCCACACTCCCAGTGTACGATTCCCGTTCGTTTAGCGTTCCATAAACAGCAGGAAACTCAAGTTGAAATTCTTCTCTTTAGTGCACAGTTTCAAACATCTCTTCATAGAGTCGTTATGCTAAAGTCAGGATTGTCTTCGCAAATATTTCGTCTTTATCTCTAAAAGTAAGTTTTTTTCGCTGTTTCAATCCCTCTCCCTCTCTTCGATAGATTGCTGCGTTTCCATCCTCCATCTATTGACATGATGTGATCCTTTCTTCTTGGGTTCTTCTTCTCCTTCTTCCTCAGATTTGATTCGCTTGTATTTTGTCCTCCTGTTCTGGAACCATACCTTGACCTGAAAAATAAAACAAGAAAAAAAGAGACATAAACCATCTAATCCGTTGAATACCAGAATAACAAATTTGGAACACGTCAAATGTCTAACTCACTTTTTCAGAATGCTAGAAGATACACTTTAAAAAAAAAAACATGTTCACAAAAAGATTGACACCATTTTCAGAAAGGTACAAATTTTCTTTCAGTTTCTAAATATACATTTAATAATTAACAGACAAATTTATTAGGTTCATCATTATTTCATTTATTCCAAGAGCCCTGGTGTACTGTTCTCAATTAAGAATGACATAAACATGAAAAATAATTAGATACTTCTTTTCCATTGGTGTTGAAATAATAGTGGTAAAACACATTACATGGCTATTAACGATTTATGATAAAGACATTCAGTGGCAAATGTATCTCGGCTAATTCATATGTAATTTCATAAGCTTCTAAAATAAAGTAAACTCTATTTTCCACAACAAGTAATCTTGTACTTTTAAATCATAAATCAAGAAGGTCTTTGCATAGTTGTTGTGGAAGTCACATAATTATTTCACCCAAATCCTTTCAATAACTTAACAATTTTCCTGATAGTTAATTTGAGAACCATTCGATTCCTTTTCAACGCCATGCTTATGAACTCTACGATTTATGGGAGAGACGTGAAGCCGTAAACGTATTGTGTAAAACCGCATAGAAATATGTGAAAAAGTGCAAGCAGAGCCTTGCTGTGGCACGACAGATGTATATAGTGCAACGGCGAGCGATAGGTCATACCAATCGAAAACATTTTTCATGGGGCACTGAGCGATCTGACAAACCAATTACATACAGCTGTCTATATGATGAGCATAATAATAAATCCCAACGCTCTTTCTTTGAGAAAATCCTCTTCTTAATGGATATCTTAATTGAATCATTTATATGTTTTGACTAACAACCTATTTTGACTACGGGATGATAGAAGTTACTATCAAAACAAAAATGGTTGCGCAAAACACTCATTAGTGGGCTAATCTAAAGCTAATTCAATCCTAAATCTGATCTCTAAATCCCGAGTTTTTAAGAATACGGAAATAAAACCGCTTGGGGCGAAAATCCAGAGACGTGTGTGATGAATGGTGGTGATTGATTTTTTTGTAATACCTATCAGATACAAAAAGTACATTTCCCTCGCGTGTAGTATTGTATTGATACGTGTACATTTCTGCTTGAGGTATTTAGTTTCAAACGCAAACTCTCAAACACAATACCCCTTTTCAGCTCAACTACAGGTGTCTTACAATATGTATAACTGTGTCGTAGCCCGCCTCCCCCAGCCTCATAAAAGCGTCAGAGAAATGAATTAAGAAAAATATGCATAGAATTGAAAAAGTGATTTATGCGATTAGTTTGTGACATGACAGGCGACCAAGCTGAAAGTCAAATCGCTGTTCCAAAGAGGGAAATATATTTTGTCGGGGTAGGAATTGTCCTAGAGCCAAATTACCCAATCGTACGATCTATTACATTTGAAGAAAATGCTTTGTATCACATTTTATGCTTAGAAAATCCGTGAATTTCTTTACAGTAACGAATGTTTGCACTAAGTCCTTTATCAGGAAACTTTGAATTAAATCGTGACAAACCCCGTCACAGTTGTATGGTATATGGGTGTTGCATATAATACTGTACTCTCTATCTGTCATTCTAATAACAGTCTAATTGATCAAAGTGCGTTCTGCGGTCTCACTAAATGAGAGTGTATAAGAGATAGGGCAAAGAAAGAAAGAGGAGAATACTCAGGAAAAGGTCCTTTTATTGGTTTTGATTTATGATCCAACCTACACGAGCAAATTAGTTGTCATTTCTTTTGGAGAGGAGTAATAGTTGATTGATCACAGTTCAAGATCCTATGACTGTAATGAGGATAAAGTGCACGTCAACTTTAGTAAGAAATCCGTGAAAAAGGATGAGTCACATTAGCATTCATATCCCATCATTAGAAATTATTGACGATTTTTGTTGACTAAATCAAGATGGAAAGAAAAAGACCACCCCCCCCCCCAAAAAAAAAAGACCAACAAAAAATAAGGTGAGATGAAACAGAAAACTTTGTAAAGAAAGACGAAATACAGTGAACGATGGAAAAAATTAAAACAACAATAATTGTTATCACAAAATTAAATTGCATTTTTTCTTTATATTTAAGATTAGCCTAAACTTTTTAAAAGAATGTACGTGAGATTAAATTTTAATTTGGAAATGAAGTCATCTCACTCGAATATCTAAACAAATTTAAGAAATATTACAAAATTGGTAAAGTGGCCTGCAGTTAATATATTAATATACAAACACTAACTAATTTTCTTTGATTTGTTTCTCACTTTAACCATAAATGAAATTGAAAAACAAGACAATTTTTTGTTCAATGGTGACATTTTTACGTCATGTATCAACTACACTCGGTATAACATCTCAATAAGTTTTCAAAGCGGATTGGCATTTGGCAGGCTCAGGAGTCATGGCTGAAAGGGTATAGAAGATAGAAAGCAAATCACTGATATCAAGGCAAAGCAATAAAGCATTTAGGTGTTATATTCGTCCAGAGAGCTTTAAAAACAAAATGACCCTCACAGCGCATTTGGTGTTATTTTGCATCTGATTTTCTTTCTATCATGCAAAGCCCAGGTTAATACTTCCCTTAATGGAAACCGCAACGCTATAAAACGTAATAATCATTCATTTTTCAACTGCAAATGTATGATATTTCCCAATCTGCATGTACTTATCTCCAGACTCTGATCTAGACAAGCACTCTAACCTTCAAACATGCATACATGAATGAATTATGAATAGAACAACGACGCGACATTGAGCCTGATGAGTTTCAGGAGAGTATCCCTTTCGACTCCGACGGCGGGTGTACGCGTGGGACACGCAGCGTTAGGATTATGATCGAGATTCGAAGGGTTAATGGAAGTATTATGACACCTGCCGTCGATAGGAAGCCATTCATCCATCAATCCCTATACAGCCATTGCCATCGCAAGATGAGTTACTTTTACAGCCTCGTTCCATAATATTTTGGTAGTTGATTCTCTCGCTCATATTAGTCTTGCTAATAGTATCATCATCTGGGCGTGACATTAGCTTTGTACTTTTGTTACCCCTCTTGTCCGAGAATAAACCAATTAAGCAATGGATGCGAGTACTGGTGTGATTAAATTGGAAAAGGAAGGGAGTGAGAGAGAGAGAGGGGGGTGGGAGATGGTAGGGTTGGGACAGGAGACGGAGTGAGAGATTTTGAGTGAGGGGGGTACGTCGATTGACAAATTTGGTACATTGGAAGACGAAATAATTATAAAGAGCGAAAGAGGGAACAAGGGAATAAAAACTAACATGGAAATAGAGGTTAGGAATTAGAAAGAAGAAAGAAAGAAAGAAAGAAAGAGGAAACAGATATTACAAGAGGAAACAGAGAAGGGATGGAAAGAGAGAGAGGGAGGGAGAGAGAGGGAGGGAGGGAGGGAGAGAGAGAGAGAGAGAGAGGGGGGGATGCAAAAAGTGAGAAAAGGGAGGGATGTTCATTTGTCCCCATTATTAAAACCAATCCCAGACTACATAACGAGGCGGGGCAAATTGTATCTTTAATGGCGCGCCACTAATGGACTTTCTCGAAACCACGTGATACCAATGGCGGCGTCATGAGCGCCATTTTGTTTTTTTAACAAAAACTCGGACGCAAATCAAGCTTTATACCCAACTCATTTAGATATCAATACCATGTTTAGTACTTATTGATTGGCATATACTCGCTATGACATGTTTATTGTTTATGAGGGCTATAAAAACTAATCATTGTTTGAGATGTAATGCATGGTAACGATCATGATGCATGTGTAAATTGCTATTTTTCATTTTTGTTCAACTTTATTGGAATCGTCCTTTTCCTGGTTTAAATCGTTTTTAAACCATATAAACCTTGGTACATATTCTAAGAGAAAATAAATGATCCAGTAAATAAACAACTTCATGAGCCGATAATAATTCTTTATGGTATTAAAGTATTAAAGAAAATGACCTTCTGTTTAATTTCCTCCAATCTTTACAATACCTTTGCATGATTGGGGTCTACAAAATAAATTTAAACTTGTAATCAGGCAGTAAAGAAAGGAATTTGCGACCCCGTTAAATACATGAATTAAACCTTCGGTAAAACTAGAATTGAAGCCGAGAAGAATACGGACAAATGACACACACAAAATTGAAAGATTGAAGAAGAAGACAAATTTCTTTCTCATTCATGATGGCATGTAGGGCTCGGAGTGACTGGTTTATCTATAAACCATACTCATTTTCACAAAGTATGTCTTCTCATTTCCCAATCTTTTATTTCTTCGACGAATTTTATCTCTCTCCTTGTCATCATTTATGATAATGCCATGAATCAATACCAAGCCCCGGTGTATATGTTGCTATAACGCCAAACCCTGTTTCGGGTACAGGTCGCCCCGGGTCAGTAGAAGCGATACGGTAGTCCGATAACCTCCCGGGTGCGAGTCCTCTCGACTCCGTAGGTTCGCATGTCATAGATCGCGGCGGGTTTGCACACAGCAGCCGTGGCGGGTTCGAGATGGGTGCGGTGATGCGATGCTCTCTGAACGGGGAGCGTTCGGCCCGATTACAGTGACGACATGTGGGGTGTGGGGTCGTCGTAGATGTCACGCCAATATATTTTGAATATAGCCAATGCACTTTAAGATGACTGTACGAGATAATATTTTCCAAAAAATAGAAAGTATCGACTTAATGATGCCTCAGCAATGACAAAAATAGTTCTAAAGGACGTACAATGAGAGGACAACAAATAGGAAGTCTTGTAAAGGCAATCAGCATCCCCGGGCCATTTCGGGAGGGGGAGGGGGGGGGGGGGGTGTGTACCGAATTTGCCGACATTTTACACAAAATGAAAAAATATATATTTATTTGCAGTCAGCAATTTTCAAATTATAAATCTGTATAAGTAGACATTTGGTGTATAAGTACTTTTTTAAATACCAAGGAAGCAGAATAAATCGCAAAGAGTAATGAAATTGAAAACCAACTAGAATGGATAAGGGAAAATTAATTTAAAGCGCTTCGGGGGCAAGAGAAAGAGGTGACATTCTGCCGGAAGAATGTGTCAAGAAGAGAGAGAGAGAGAGAGAGAGAGAGAAGGAGGGGGGTGGGGGTGGTCCAAGAACTAGAATAATGATCAAGTAACGGAGTAAACTATTGGGTGTTATATTATACTGCATTAATAGATGAGGTTGATACTATATGAGATGGGGGTTGATAGTATACTATATTATGAGATGGGGATGATAGATGAACTATCGATGGAGGCTCTGATAAGCCTGATAGGAAAGGAAAATCTGGGCTAACACGTCTGCGGTGACAAATTGTGGCAAGTTATCTGAGATAAGGCTTTATTGAAACTGGACTTTAGAAGAGATCACGAAACTACGCGTAATTTTGTCTGAGTAAATGTCTGAGTAAGAAACTATGGTATCGCACACTAACTCAAACTGTTGAAGTATCCTTGCTTTAAAATCTGTACCCCTTTTCTTCTTTAATCATGAAAATATACAGTCTTCAATAGGAGTCTACAAAGTTGATTTTTTTTTTAGCATAGCCATTCTTATTTTTATTTTTGTATTTACCACATCTGTAAAATCACTCCCATGTAATCAAAAAGGGAGAATTCGCACACGTATTTTATGGATTTGTATATATTCTTTATTATTTGTTTCTCATTATTGCAATCATAATGGAAGAAAAAAAAAACTGTTAGCATTCCGGATGGCAAATTCAGGTACATTATATTTTTAAGAGATGTCTTTTCCTTTTTTTCATTATCGTTATTGTGATTCTTTTTAAAAAGCTGACGATGCTGCCGACTGCTTTTGGTATAAACAAGTCCTCCCAAAGATTAAAATCAGGCAAACGTCAAACATTTTCTACAATCAACATTCCATTATCTATTTCTTCTTAATGTTTTCTAGTAGTATGAGCAAAGAAACAAGACGCAGTAATTTCATCGAATTTGGCATGCACCTGGGAATTCGAAATTACTTAATTTCGCGACAAACATCCATCTTTCTAACCATATTCGTCCGCACCATCTAGTTACGGAAGCAGACTTTAACAATTATCAAATAGTGCTCACGACTTTAAAAGAAAACGGCACATTTTATAACCATAACATTACTTTTATTCTTCCATTATTTTCATGCGGCGTGCATTCGCACCTGGTTAAGGCGCGGGAAATTGAAGACGTGTCGACGGCTTTCAACTCAGTTACGGGCATTTAATAAAATAATGTATGTGTTTGTGTTTGCAGCCCCCCGAGATCCACTCTCGGGCTAAATTGGCGGGAACAAGGCGGGCAACACATACCAACTTGTTCAATTACTGCCATTTTTATTTCTTGTGCCGCCTTGCCCGCTAAATGCGCTAAATTTGCCGAGAAAACAAGGGAAACGGCCCCCGCGAAAATGATTACATTATCAAGCCAGCATGGCAGCTATTTAAGCGTCATTTGATATACACAAACGGGAGGATAGGGGAAATCGAGGGCGAAAGCAACAGACGGTTTTGGGTTATGATGGTGATGATGTTTGAAAACGTCGCATTAGTGTCAGGCGGATATTTTAGAGAGATAGAGAGACAGAGTAAGGGCGAGGACCATATAATATTATCAAGAAAAAAGGCGGAGAGGGAGCATGCAATGGAGACATCGGGAGAAAAAGTATATACAGCAATTCGCATCTAATAACGGGTTGAACAGCGACGACAATATATGGCCGTTTTGTCGCGAAAATTTATTTATTGTTGCAGGTCGGGTTTCCGCCTTGAAAAATAATTTTGGGTTGTTATACAATTACACGAACCTCGACTCATTCTCGGCTAGTCTAGCGTTTATGATAAGATATTATTTCATTAGTTACACCGTGCCCGCCCGCTTAATGACCGCTGAAATCAGCAAGCAATGAAACTCGAGATTTATTTCCTTGCAAGACATGATTATGTTTTGTTGAAGATACGAGGAAGAAAGCTAACCACCAACCGAACCGCCTCCTTCGCTCCATCTTCTACCAATCACCTCTCCTTGACAATGATGTTCGTCTTCCATCCGTAGCTAACTCGTAATATCCTCCTTCGAGTTTTCTATATTCCTATATCAAATCAAGAAGTGTTTGTTCCTGGTGCTTTTTACCTCTAATAAGTCCGTTTGTTCAAATTACAAATTAAAAGGGACTTTCCTTTCATTTTATTTTGATCTTCCATCGTATATTTTGGCCTTCTTCCATTTTCTCAGCAAATAGAATTATTGTTTCGTTTTCTTTTCTACATTCCCCTTTTCGAACACCACCTTTTACGTTCCCCAATTTCCCCCTCGTTGTTCCCATATATTTTCCTATCCTATTTCTTCTCCTTTTACATTTCATGATTATTTAATCTTTCGAGTCTTTCGCTTCCATCTCCTTTTTTCCAGCATTCGTCTGAGTTTACTTTTTGAATGAGTATTCATGAATTGATTAGTATATACAACGGGATATTGTGTTCACTTCTTTCTACAGAGCATGCTAAAAGAAATTTGCTCAGAATCAAACTTGGAAGAAAATGTACATGCATTGTTGGTGTGGATCATAAGAGAGAAAAGTCTCCAATTAAGATTTATTTCATAAACTGTATTGATTTTACTATTTCGTAAAATAAATAGCTTGTGAAGGAAGAAACCCTTCAAATTAATGAAACACCAGAGTTCATCGAAATATAAATAACACACCTAATAAAATTATTTGCGACGTCTAAAAAAATTATACTTTAAATTCGCAAAAGACATTAATTTTTGATCATTCCATCTTGCTGATTTAAGTTAATTATCAGATGGGTGCTATACCGATTCAAGCACACAATGAATACACTTGTAATTTAAGTTAACCTTAGTTTTGCTAATTAAATTTTATGCGACCGCGGAGAAATATTACATACCTAATATTTACAGTGTTTCATTGGTTAATCTTGTGTAACAAATCTCAAAGTTTATTGAATTAGATTACCATTTGAGAATGGGAGAGGTATCTCATTTATGTTGGAAAACATCTAAAGTGCACAATTTACAACAGTTTATATATATATATCTTTCCAATTTCTATTAAATTAAGATATCATTTAACGATGTACCAGTTCCCCACAGGCAGCGTTTTATATGTGTTATCAGAACGATCCTTTCAGATATTGTTTTTATTTCATTCCTCATAAATGCCATTTATTGTTTTAGTTCAGAAAGTTAATCATTCCTTTTTGAAGAAAAAAATTAACTTGGGACACACTTAACTGTTTAAAAGGAACTTGAACATATGACTGATAGTTTGTAATCGAGTAGCGGGAGGTATAAAACGAGTTAATTATATCATTTCGCGTTCTTAATGAAATAAGAGGAAATCTTAATTACTTTGTACAACTTAATGAGTAATACGTTTAACTATCGCTATCTTACCCTGAAAGTAGCTTAAGGATTTAGTAATTATCATTAATATATACTGTGTGTGTGTGTGGGGGGGGGGGGGAGTAGCCTAAAAAGAAGATCTAACCACTGGGTAACATATATTTCTTACAAGTTGTTTTCATTTGTAACAAATAAGTGTATGCCTTGTGCTACAATGTTCAAACGATTTTTTTAATTTTTTAAAAATATTTTTTTTGCTCACTTTTTTCAAAGATGTCTCTTTACTGCTATACATTTTTTTAAATACATTTTTTCCTCCTATTTAAGGTAATTTTTTTGGAGATTGGTGATGAATGTGATCAATTGAAGCTAAATCCATGATGGAAATAATCTCCATAAAGAAATGAAATTTCAGGATATACTTACTTGTGTTTCTGTGAGGTTTAGACTCGCTGCCAGTTGTTTTCTCTCTGCGCCAACCACATAATGGTTTTTTTCGAAGGCATTTTCTAGTCGGAGGAGCTGGGAAGGAGAAAACGCCGTCCGGATCCTCTTGGGTTTCCTGAAGGGGTGTTGGAGAAAGAATCCACCGTTTGGAAGATCACCTGCAATTTAAAAAAAAGAAGAAGAGAAAAATACAAATTTATCGTTAATTATATTAAATAGTATTTAAGGAAATATCACAACAGAAATAATTATGAAACATTGAAAATTCGAAGCTATATATTCATGATCTTTGAGTTCATGATCTTCATGAACTTTGCCGCATTGAATATTGTACAAGAAGATTTTGGAAGATGTTTTTAGGAAGAATGTGGCCTAAGTTACCAAGAGTAGAATAACAGATGAAGCTTAGAATTACAGATGGGCCTAATAGAATCGCATCCAATGATGGTGTTGGTGGCATCGTCGTTGTTAAATGACAGACTTTCAAATCATTAGAATACATTATATCATATTATAATTACAATATTGAAATATTGTACTATATTCATTTAGAAAGAAAAGAGAGAAATTGATTTTTGTTTGAGCCGAATGTAAAATTTGGGAGATAGTTGCAAAAGAAAGTGAAAGTAAGGAAACGGGTAAAAGTGGAGAGGTAGAAAAAGAGAGAGAGAGGGATAGGGAGAGAGGGAGAGAGATAGAGGGAGGTAGAAAGAGAGAGAGTGAGAGAGAGAGAGAGAGAGAGACAGAGACAGAGAGACAGAGAGACAGAGGAGTGGAGGGGGAGGAAGAGGGAGAGGGGGAGAGATGTAGGGAGCGTGGGATGAAGATGATGGTAGTTAGACAAGATTTACACAGCAGACGAGAAGTGTGATAGCGATACCCACTCCGAGTCGCAACCTGTCATCGATCGGCGGTATCGGCCTGCATGTTTTTATCTTGTCTCTCTCTCTCCTTCTCTCTCGCACTCTGAGTGCTAGTGACTATCTCATCGCAAAGACGATGACAAGCTGGGAAGAGTAACTTAAGCCAGGCATAAGTGGCCAAGTGCAAGCATTTGCATTTGCTGTCAGTTACAGACACTCTCCACCGTCTTGCAGTAAAGAAGTGGCCGATACAAGGATTTAGTTGGACAATGATTTTGGAGGGGAAAACAATTTTATGACAACAAATATTAGCAGGCTAAATGGTCTATTTATCACAAATATAGTTTCTAAACAATAACAGTGAACATACCATCTAATACTTAGATAAATCAAATGAGTCATCTGTTTGTTATAAACCTTTATTTTCTTTGTGGAAAATGAAAATCCAATTCATTTTCATATCATGATGCCTTTCACCAGGTTCACAAAAGCTGAAAGGAGACTTGATATAATAGGCCTGTGTCATCGTTTAAAATTTGATTTCTAATTATGCTGAACTGTATGGGATGATGGATGTTCATTACTTGATTGCAATCTCTTCTATCTCTATACCTATCACGCCTGTGAACCGCAAATATATGGTGTTAGAAATGACTATCGCCCTCTGTGTCCAAAAAGATCCAAACCTCTATCAGCAGTGCAGTGCTTTGAGGCAAACCCTTGCACGGCTCTAATATTCTCTCCCGCAGGGCTGGCGGTCGCAACACCGGCAGCGCCCCGCTAGCTCGTCCAATGCCAGTGTAAGCACGCGAACTGCCTAATCAAACAGCTCACGCAATTCACACTTGTTCCTAATCACCGGCGAGATGTTGTTTCTGCGGCAGATTACAAGACTATTATCAAGACCTATTAGTAAATCTATCCTCATTCCATTTCAAAGGAATACCGCCGCCCTCTTTCCTCATGCCCTCTTTCTCTTTCCGATGCTTGGGTGTGGTACAAACACCCTTTACAGCGAGCCTCGGCAGGGTCTGCAGGGTTATGAAGTTGTTTTCCACATCAAGTGCTAAAGATATAGCCCCGAAGGACGTGAAAATAAATAACATGGTGTAAACGATGTTTACAGCGTATGATACGGACCGCCATTAGCTAGATAAATTGAGAGGCGATAGCCCGCTTTACTTGTAGAGTAGAGACAAATAATCTTCATCCTTATAATGATGATGACGATAATAATATGAGAGGGAGGAAAGATGTGTTTGTGGGTGCTCGTACGATGTTTGTTGATGCGAAGTTTAGATGCAAGGCCCCGACACACAACGGTGTATTTCTGAACTCAAAGCCTACACCACACACGCTGTCGCTTGTTATGTTGCTGCATACTTATTTCAGGAAAAGAATATGCTCTGTACTGAACAGATATATTATTCATTATAGTTATAAAGATATTCGCTTAAAATTTTTGTTTAAAACATTTACCAAAAAGAGCATTGGTCAAAAGGAGAGTATTACAAAAGCCTCTAAAACAAAGATCCTTTCCAACAACAATATTGCAAGATACAGTTAAATTGTTTTACAATCTCTCTAATTCCTGAAAGTATATAGGTTATTGGTACCTATATTGTATTTCTGAAATCGAATATTTCTACTGTGTGATTTTACTACGTACATTCTATTAAAAAAATAATCATAAGAATTGAAGAATTCATGTCTTAGTTACATTTCTCAGTACGGCTTCAAAACAAAAACAAAGGTCGTGTATTGAAAACAAAAAAGACAATAAATTAATGAAGAACTTCTGTTATGTTTGTTCTCATGCAAAGAGTTCAAGTGTCTTGTTCTCTAATGACTTGAGCAGTTCGATACAATTCCCATACAGATTATAGTTATATTTTAACAATTAAAAGAATCCCAGAGATTTGAATATGTCACCCTGAAAGGTAACATATTAACATATTTAAATAATTATATTGGTATGTAAGTGTGAATCAGAAGTAAAAACTTGTCATTCGTGTATCCTTTTAGTTTTCGTTTATTAGAATTGTAGTATACAGGATAAACAAGCAAACGTACATTCTGCTATTGTGTCTGCGATAAATGAATTTGAGTCTCACATAATGTTGTCCTTCGCCGGTGGAAAAAAACACATCTTTGATATTACCTCATAGTTTAGAATAACAACGGATTTGTTACAATCTATTCTTAAACATGATCATGTTTGTGTTTTGTTAGTCAATATTTTGTGTCATTAACTGCCAATAGATCAAGAAATACGCATCAAATTATTTCAAAGATATAAAAACACACCACGCAGACAACAAAGGACCGATGGGGCTATAGGGTTATGAAAATGCTTTCAATCTGTCAGCAATACTTGAACAAACAAACTAATATACCGGTCAAAAAGCATTCTCACAGCCCATTTTCACGGCAGAATTGCATCGGTCTACCGCCGAGACAAGTAAACTGGGGACAATTATTGTATTGAAAGAGTAACAGGATAATTAGGTACGCTGAAGTTGACGTGAATGCCTATCTGCGACTTGAACTCAACACCTTTTGAGAAAAGCGTTTTCAGTTGCAGTGAAAAGGGAGTCTTGCAGAGTAGCTTAGAGCGTGGGTACACACACATAAAAGCGAAGCGTAGTGGTGTTACTGCTACACGGTATTACTTCTACCCCATTTACCAACCAGACTACAGAGGCAATTCCTAAAAATAGCAGAAGAAAAAAAGCTTATGCCAACAGAGTTTGATTTTACACTTATTCAGTATCATGCATCATTGAGTAAATAAATATGAGAAAATTCATACACTTGCCTTCTCATCAATAAGTAAGAGCTTTGCCCCGTCTAGAATCACTTTGTTACTTGTAATTCATACATTAATGCAATACCACTGTAGTCTGTACAGTTATTGTGTTTGGTTATACCTTATATATTTTTGTTAAAGTTATAGAAACTGTCATTCACTACAAATAATGTTTAATATAAAAGAAAATAATAAATGTGAATTTTAAACAATGAGGAAAATAAGACAAATATTCAACGACTATGCAAAAGTAAAATACAAGTTGTGACGATTTGGCAAAAGCATTATTTATTTAACACTTAATGATTATGCTATACAAGACTCATGTTTTGCCTTCTACTTTTTGGAAATCAGCCCAACTTACTATGGAGATGATAATTAATTACTCCAAAACAAAACTTCAGTCTCTCATAAATTATGATTTTATTTTATAGTTAGGTAAAGTACAGAAAGATTAGGAACGTATGTCTTTCGAGTACATGATATGGCGCAAAGTTTGGGAGAATGATACAACCACAAAAAATATTATGCATGCATAATTATGTCAGTATGCCGTGATAAATAAGCGACATTGCAATAGACATCCTACAATATTGTACTATACTCTAATACACATCATGTATAGAAATCACATACTATAAATCGTATACTATTATTATAGGAAAACAAGGATGTCATGGTGTGTTTGAGATATAAATAATCTTACGACTTTCTTAAAGTACACAGGTAGTCAGATAACTTTTGCGATTCAGAGGCCTATAGACTAAACTATATGGGATCTAAACAAATTGAACGATTCAGAATGTCTCATGATGTCATTACAGTATCATTAGCATAGTATGCTGTACCTTCGGCGTATATACATAAAGAAGAATAAAGATCCGAAGAAAAGGTATAGTAAATCACCACCACCTCACTCTCCGAACAAATCTTGTATCATTGAACATTGATTCTCAACATGTAGAGCTATTAACCCTTTCATCATGCTAATCCATCTATCTCTCGAGAACATTTTGGTGGAAACATTATTACAACCTCATTAAAGGAGCTATTATCAACCATTTAGGAGATTACTGAAGAGGATTCTGAGCCCATGAAAGGGTAATTTGCAATGATCAAGAAGTAAAATGGGGCCACACCAGAAGTTTGGTCCATTCAAACCATGTTACGTTTCCTGGTCAAAGGCGCTTTAGTGAGCGGAGCTCTTAAAGCGAGAAAAGCTCTTTAAACACTTTCAAACAGCGCGCGGATAAGAGGTCTAATTAATTTACATTAGGGGGAGGCCTATTCAAATGAACTTTTCCTTCACTGGCTTCACAAAGGAGCTGTCGGTGTAATCAACTTCACGTCGTTTCTCTTTCTTCCATCCACAATTCAAGATCCCTTTCCTATCAAACTTTATAAAAGGGTGTAACACCATTGTGAGTTCGCTCACTAGTATTGAAAGTTTGTCGGCTGGTCTTCGTGTATTGTTAGCGTCCACTCCGCCTCAAGCTTGGCTTCAAACCTCAAGCGAGTTTCTGTTCTCTCCTTCTCTCACCCCTTTTTGCTTCTTTCCTACGTCTTAAGCTTTGTACAGGAATCTACCACAATTAATCCGCTATTCAATGAGAGTTAACGAAGTCACAATGATGGTCAAAATAAAGGAAAGGCTCCCCTAAACTGCAGTAATTGGTTTTCAAGCTCCCCATTATGGGATACACAAGAACGCGTTAATTAGTTCTTAATAGTGGCAAATTTTGCGATTTGTATCAATCTACATGCATTAACATCCATTAAGTAGAAGTAACTTTTGAAGACCAGGTAATAAAGGGAAGAGAGTGAGATGGAGAGAAAGGGTTCAGAGTCGGGGATATGACGAGAAAGCAAAGCGAAAAAGTTTCATGCAGAAGGAACAATGTATTTTATTTTGTATTTATTTATTTATTTATGTATACTATATGGAACAGGACAAACGGGCACAGAGCCTACATACAATGGGAATGGGCATTAACGAGAGAAAGAGATAACCATTTTGTTTTTAATAGTTTGGAATGCCGATGAAAATACAGACACAACAGACATCAAAACCCTTGAAAGAGACGTGCAAGCGATATAATCCAATGACCATTGCATCTTATCGATTAAAATCAGGGACCTTCTATTTTTTCTTTCTTAACACCTCTTTTGTCATTGTTGTGTCATAGTACTGGACAAGCACATTAGCAACCACATGACAATGTGACCAAACGAAGGACATCGGCATGGGCACGAAATCTGGGGGCAATGCCCTCTAGATCCTCCTGCAAGGACCCAGGAAGAGGGTGAGACTGAGAATGAGAGAAACAGGGAGAGGAGACGAGAGAAGGGGAAAGGGAAGAACACGAAGAGGGAGACAAAAAGAAGAAGAAGAAGAGGAAAAGAAGAAGAAGAAGATGAAAAAGAAGAATAAGAGAAAGAGAGAGAGAGGGGAGAAAAGGGAAGGGAGGAAGATAGGATAATGAAGTGAGAGGGGTAAGAGAAAGAGAGAGAAGTGACAAGAAGGGAGATAGAGAGAGAGAGAGAGAACGAGAGAGAGAGAGAGAGGGGGAGTAACATAGAATAGATGGAAAGAATTACAGACAGACAGAGATAAATAGCTTGAAAGAGAGAGAGAGAGAGAGAGAGAGAGAGAGAGAGAAAGTTAGGTGTATTTACACAGAGGAATGTTAAGGGATTTAGAAAACATCGCTTAAATTAATTCGCGAATAATGGTTGAAAATCATGGAGGCTAAAAATCAACCTTGTATAGCACGTAATCGCATCTACAAAATAATGTAAGCATGCCAAAATGTAAGCCTATTTCTGTCCCGTGGCTGAATATGAAGGAAACTTTTTAAGTTACCAAGACCAAAACCAAGACAAATTTATTACGTTTGCGGTCAGCTTTCAAGACCTTCTGATGCTTCTTTACATGATCATCATTAAGATATATAGAGAGTCCATAAAAAAAGTATGAATTTTTATGTTGTGTTTGATTGTTCAATTTCAAGGCATAATCACATTCATGTAAATATTAAAAAGTGCGATATCCAAACTACTGTTCATGGGAATTCCACCATACTACCATTTTCAGTAACATCATGACAACATATTATCATAAACTACAGACTTAGGTCATCATCTTACATAACAAACGATTACAACAAACGTGTTCAAATAAAGCAATATAATAAGTATCTTTATTTTCTTTTGCTCTGCAATTTTGTTATTCAGAGTAGAATATGACGATAAAAAGAGACATCAAACAGTGTATCTATCATATTTTGTAATGAATACAGTAGTATTGTTGATCATTAATCCCCGAGTAAATACAAGAACCAAAAACACAATTATTATTGTTTGCCCCATCATAACATATATCAACAAAAAATAAGAATTGAATTGAAGTTTTAATCAAATAGTAGTGAAGTAATGTTCTTCACCTGTCTTTCATTAAGAAAATTGATGGAAAACTGTTTTCTATTCAGGCATGTTGTAATATCATTGTTACAGGCAAAAACAGAAATCAGTCCATGTTCCGAAAATCGCCTCAACGGAATTTTAAAAGATTTTTTTTTTCTCGATCGGACAAAGTTAACTGACGAGAGCAAAAAAATAAAAAAATACAAATATGAAAAATGTTTTCATCACAAGTCATGTGTACCTTCTGTTTATACCAAGAGACTTCGGTGGTAAGCGCTTTATAAGCACCGCTTTTTTTAATAATGATTAATATCTCGTGCATTGGTATGAACAAACAAATACTAGATGATAATGGAAAAAGAGCCAAGTAAAATGGAAAACGAGGAGAAATGATAATGAATAATCAACAAATTGTCAAAAGAGGAGAATAATCTCAGTTTCCGTAATAAAAATCGACGTCACTCCATCATTATTTTCCCCGGTAGCAGATTAATATTGATTTGTTTACACATGTCTTGTACACCGTAGCTAGTCTCGTGTTTGATCAAGTCATCATGCACGGTCTAAATTAACTTCTTGTGTGAGAATGACAACTCCATTAAAATGTTAATAATCCGAAAGTGACATGAATATACTTCTATTATATCCACAATATGTAACATAAAGGTGTTTATTCATCTATATCATAGTATTCATGTTTAGTTTTGCAAGTATGATTTTGTACTTTCGTGATTGACAAGTTTTCAATGGTCAGCAAACTAACCGATTCTTACACCATAACCGGGTTATTGAATTGCATTTGCTGATCTTTTGATGTTGTTAGAATATTTCTTCATTCAATTTTACTGATCGGTTCTCGAATAATATACAACATACATGTACTTAAGAAACACATTAGTAAATCATGTCAATGTAACAAAAGATAAGTTTCTTTGTAGAAGGTTTATCAAATAGTTAGAGTGAATTTTTATCATAAAATATTTAGTTTAAACATTTACTAAGTACACGTTTTTGAAGTAGAACATACCTTTTGTTGAAGAAAGATAAGTAAATGTTGTGGCCACGTCCTACAAAATTTATAAATAATCAGACTTACACTTTCGCCCCCTCCATACAAAAAATAAACATAAATAAATAGGTTTATATCGAGAAAAATTAGCAAAACCAGAACTTTAAGATAAGTAAACAAAAAAGAACATATTTTCTACTTCTATAAAGAGAATGAAATAGTTCTGCTGGACATCTACTAAAGAATATGCGGACATAATATTTAGGCACATCACTGCTTGGTAATGAAAAAACACCCCAAAATCGACAAACTGATTTACAGTAAGTGTGAACAAATAGTTTGTTGAATTATATCAATATTACTAAGAGCAGATTGTTTTTCTTCAATTGTTTAGGCTCATCCCGAGTATGCAATATGATAATCTAATGAAAAGGGCTTTATTAACAGATTTAACTATATCAATAAATACCTTCTATTTGATATTCCTTTTGGGATGGGTGGTACACAAACCGTTCATCGCATTGTTGCAGATTATTCATCTTGCAAATTTAAAGCATAAGATATTTGTAAAATAGTTCAATAATTCAAAACAAAACAGCGAAATTCTAAATCTAACCTGATATTTATGAATGGATGAATATTAAATATATACCGACAATGTCTCTTATCGACAGACTTAAGTTTAGAAAATAAAGTGCTTCAGATTCGTCTGATCTGGGAGTGTAAACATCGGATTATAGGTGTTGAATTTCGGTCAGCAGGATAAGCTATAGTAAAGCGTTATTGTAGACTGTTAATTGATATGTCACAGTTAGAAGAGAAGAAAAATGATTTCGAAAGATTAAATGATCATCTTACAAATCTGACTCACCTGGGAATGGTCTGTGGCCTGCGGCAAGAAAGCGATTCCTGGCCAACAACCATGGATAAAGACCAAAGCCATCGCGCCTTGGCCCTCCCAGACCGTGTGCACCGAACACCCCGGCCAGCGCCGGGTGATTGTGCTGGGCTGCTGCCGCTGCAGCAGCGGCTGCCATATTATGATGGTGTGCGAGTCCGAGTTGATGCTGGATCGGGCCAACGTGAGACGGTGGCCCGGACGCTGCGGCGGTGTGATAGATGGGCTCAGGGTGGTAGAGTCCCTTCATTCCACTGAGAGTGTTAAAGAAGGATGCCTCTGTGGGCATAGGCTTGATGATGCCGCCGTGCCGGCTCGTTGCCGGCGGCGTGAACGGTGACGATGCTAACGAGTTTGATTCCATGGTCGATGCCGTAGCTGCAGCCTGCGGTGATGTCGGTGGAGTAGGAGTCGCTCGATGATGACGGTGGTGGTTATTGTTATGATTTGTGTCTTTTGATACAAGTGACTCTATCGAGAAACAGCTCGATTTCGACGTCGTGGTGGTGGTTGATGAGGAGAGTCCGCTGATAGGCGGTCGAAATAACTCCGCCGCAGACATGTTTGCAATTGTCTCTTTTCAACCCTGTTTCTAAACAAACTTTCTTCAAGTTTAATCACTTGATGTTCGACTCAATTTCTTAGGAAACACTTTTATTTCCTCTGTTGAATAATTAGCAGAGAAACACTCCCAATTCAGCAATAATAATGTTCACATGTCCATGTAAGAAATAGAACGACGAACTTCAAGTTTTAGAAATCCTGCTCTGAATTAGATTCATGTGTTTGTGAATATATTTCAAGTGTAGCACAGAGAAGTCGAGAGGGAGGGAGTCCAATAAGATACGTCCGCATCCACTCGATGTCCAACAATGTTTGTCCCCGTTTAGGGGGTTTACAGCGCGTAAAGACCGGCCAAAGCGGAACAAGAGGGGTACACGCTCTACCACTTTCTGGTTTCGGGCACGAGATGAAAGATACCAGAGTCTTCTTCTTTGATCCCGCTACTCAACTATCCAATCTACCTTTAGATAAAAACAATTGCGACGGATGGGAAAACGACGAAGATTGGCGAAGTCGTGTTGATCAAAATGAATGCACAAAGTGCGATAAAATGTGTTAAATGACGAGGATGATAGAAAAATATGTCTTATCACCCGTGACTTTCGAACAAGCTATGAAGAATCCAATGTTGGAAATCGATTCATATAATAATGAATTTTCGCCGCTGACCACGTTGTGTTAGAGCAAGTCAGGTCAGGCTACCTTCTGATGGAGAGTGAGAAGTAAATTCTGTTTTGGACCAAGTCATGTGCGCCAAGTGATGCGCTCCGTCCTCCAGCGATGGATTCCGATCTAACTTGCTAATCGCTCAATTTGCATAGTCGTTAGAGAGGAGGCCCCCACAATTAGCTTATGAGAGACACGGGTATGCAACGGCGATGCTTAATCAAAACTCGTTTCTCTCTTCTTCGCTCTTCGCCCAATAACCCGTCGCCATTTCGTGTCACTTTTGATTGGCAGATGAGAACGATGTGACGTCACGATGAAGAATCGCTTAAACTCTAATCGAACTACCCCCTTGTTCGTCGGGCTGCTACAATGTAGCTAAGCGCTCTCCTGCGCGGCTGTACACCTCCAAAATTGTTCACTGAGGAGAAGCCTGTCTCAATTTGCTGACTCCAATCTCGGCTTTCGCTTGTGTTCAGCTCCGCGTACTCTGATTCACGGGTGAGATGATTGTGCGATGCAGCGAAGACCAGTCTCCGGTAGACGCCATTATTAAGTGGGCGGGGCGCAGAACTCTCTTTGCCATCGCTGATTGGTCGAAGGAAGCATACAGCGAATATTGCATCTGTTTTGGCGTATACCAGACCAAATCTCATGGAGACGAGGACAAGTTAATGAAATGTGCATGTCCCAAATGATAATCTCATTGAGGGATTATTTGGATCAGATTTACACACTATTATATATATATAAAGTTATTTGAGTGGTTTTATATTTTGGATGTTTCATTTCTTACTTCGTGTTCTAGTTGTATACTCTATCATTTTCATACCATTGATATAATCAAATTATAGCCAAATATACGAGAAAACAGAAATAAACATTTAGTGCCTAAATAGGCTATTTATTTTCAAGTTCAAGTCTAATTTATTCAATTAAAGCATATTCAATTGAATTTAATTAAAGGTTTATTAAAATATAGCTTCGCAGCCGTTGATGGCTGAATTGCGATATAGTTCACAGATAAAAACATGCAAAATTACAAAATAAACATATCAATTACAATGAACCTAGATTGGCATGAATTTAAAACAAAATAGAAAATAGAGTACAGAATTACAGTTGAAATAATTAGTTAGAATAATTTGATATAGATTCATAGCAATATCTGTTGAGAGTATAGTAATCAGTTGGCTTTAAAATATATAAATAGAACACCAAAAGAGTTCAAATGTGAGTTTCAGCAAAAAAAAAGGTTGTTCAAATTACACCAGGAGTTTAGTGATTATTCAAAACCATTGTAAACATTTAAGGACAAAACGAGAAATTGAAAAAGATTATCTTTCAAATTAAAAACTCAAATTTGGAGTGAAATAAGATAAAATTTGTTCATTAGAAGTACATCATCGATTTACAATGTTCACATGGTAATAAGATAATGTATTGCACAAAGCTTTTAGGAAAGTACACCAAAAAAAAAAAGTCTTTAGGAAAGTAGTTGTATAGATATATCGACATACAAACTATTCCATTACAATCTGGTAAACTATCTCTCTTTGAGTTATTTTGAGGGGTTGGAAAAAGTCTTAGAGAAAGGAGAGAGGGATGGCCAGGGATAGAGGTATGGTATGAAAAGAAGAGAGAGAGAGAGAAGGAGATGAAAATTCAAATTGAATTCGATAATTTTTCTTATTGATTTAAAAATCTGTAGTAAAGTTTTTTGTTTATTATCCAGAGGAAATATTGTCCATCAATTTAATTATTAGAGAAGGCTTAATGGGTTTCATTCAATTGTAACTCCGGATATCTATTGTCCAATAAAAAAAAGTAGATGGAGGATAACGACTAACGGTAATTCATTTTTACGTCTAAGAAACTGAAATTCTCTAAATGATCCAATTAAAAGAAGATAAATTAGCTCTGAATAGGTTATCTTCCTAGGATTTCACATTTCAACGATTTTAATTGTTATCTCAAATGTGTATATTGATTATATTGATGCCATGTAGAGAACATAATAAACAGTATATAGCACATAAGTTCACAATTATACGTTTACATTTTATACTCATTGAAAAACATACGGGCCTTATGTATTTTGAGTGTATACTCATAACAAGGGCCTTGAGACTAAATCAGAAACGAGGTTGAACAAAATTCAGAAAAATATGAAGTATATGTTTATTGTGAGAAAAAAATACAATTCACATGTACTCAATTAAGTACTTATTGTTGCCAATTATATGTTGTACTTGTGAAATGACTGTAAATCAAGATTTTAAATGTAAATATGAACAATTATCCTCTATGGACATAATAATCGAATTAAATGAAATGAAATGAAATAAACAGATATCTTTAAAATGATAAAGGTAACATAAAGTGTCAACACACACACAAATATTTAGCCAAATAATCTAAATCATCAACTTGTCAATCTCTACATTTACTAGGCCTATGTAGTTTTGGTTGCATGATCAGCAGTGAGGAAACAAAAGCTTGCGTAGAACGGTGTGAAAAGAACATGATGAATATTAAATTGAAAAGTTCGACCTCACGCACACTTGAACATGGCGACCTATCAGTGCATCTAGAAAGCGACAAAGCGACCTCAACAGGGCAAAACGAACCAGTTTATATTCAACACGTTCAAGTACATGTCAGAATGCGTGTAATGTACGTAGCCAACTTATTCAAAATATAACAATAAACACTAACCTTGCTTAATATTATCATATTATATCATCCCACTTTTAATTATATTACCAGCTATGTTGAAGCTTGATAATAGTAAACCAATTGTATTTAAAAATGTGTACCTAGCCAACAATAAAATATTTGACAACGTTGTTAGAAGAAATTGTGAAAGCATTTTAAAGATAAACGAGATAAAATAATAGACAGTGTTAGTCTTGCGTTTTGGCATAATACCCTTCCATTTATATTTTCATTATCGCTGTCACTTTATATCATTATATAGGCCAATAGTCGTGCTCAATAAAAGGTATGAAAAATAATTATGCAAGGTATAGAACGCGAACGAATAGCTTTGAATAGGGCAGTTGGGAAATTTCAGATTTAGAACACGTTCTATTTCACGTTCTATAACAAAATCTAAAAATGTTATAGTCTGAAATCCTGATCAATTTGATCATGTAAATTACTCTTCTTTTAGATACACATTGATATGAAAGTCTGAAAAGATTTATGGTTCAGCTTTCGCATAATTGAATCATATTGAGTCATCTTTTTATTAGGTTTATCTTTGCTATAAAACTACAATCAAGGAAATAATTATCAAGATATAAGCCGCCTTAGAAGTAAATTTAGACAAAAAATTAGATATGCCTTAAAGCAGATAGTTGATTCATGTTAGACAATACCAAAGCATCTTAAAACAGGTTAAAAAGGAGATTCGCTCGAGTGAACCTTCCGACTAATTTCACGCTCATTGCGATTGCCAAGCTGCACGGTTCTTACTTTCATTGTTGACATGGTTGGCGGAGTATTTATTGTGTAAGGAAATTGGAATCATTGTGACGTTTTAATCACGTGACTGAGTAATTTTCGTTAATTTTAAGGAAAGCTTGGTTCACGGAAAATTTATTTATAGATCACTTAGCTCTTATTGCAAGTATGTGTTTTGTTTTCGTTAGAACGGCTTACATTCAAGCAAGTTTTTGCTTAATATGACTGTATCCGAATGTATCTCGACTTATACATTCACAAATATTTTTTCAAACGTACATAACATAAAAACCATCGGTGGAATATTGTGTTCTGAAGTGTCGGATCACCTACCCATATTTTTAACTTGTGAATGCAAACTATCTGGCCGTAAATCATTTGATGAGCTTATATATCGCAAAGAATCCAAACGTAATATAGAATTGCTGAAACAGGATTTATTTTTCGAGGGATGGGCTGAGGTATATAGTGTAAATGATGTCAATACTGCATATAAACATTTTAGTAACAAATTGCAATATTATTATGAAAAGAATATTCCTTTAGGCAAAATGAGTAATAAGCGAAATAAACCCAGGAATCCTTGGATAACTAAAGGTTTATTGAAATCAATACAAACACGCAATCGCCTCTACAAATTACATTTACACAATCCAACTGACACTAACCTAAACACATATAAAATTTATCGAAACAAATTAACAAAACTTATCCGTACATCCCGTAGATTGCATTTTTCTAATAAAATAAAAAAGGCCAGTTCAAACACAACTGCAACTTGGAAAATTATCAAAGAGGTAATGGGAAAAAAAACGAACCCCCCACCCACGGATAATATCACATTAAATGGCACTAAAATACATGATCCTAGTCTTCATGCAAATTCATTTAACTCATTTTTTACGAATATCGGCCCTGAACTCGCCAGCAAAATTAATAGAACTCACGTTCACTTTAAAGACTATCTTTCCAATCAAAACCAAGAGTCTCTCTTTTTAAATCCGACAAATCCTAGCGAAATTATTAACATTACCCAATCTCTTAACAACTCAAAATCGCACGGTTTTGATAAAATAAGTATGTCTCTCCTAAAAGAAATAATGTATCCACTTGCAAAGCCTTTAACTCACATATTTAATCACTCGTTATCGCAAGGTGTTTTCCCTGATCTATTAAAACTAGCTAAAGTCAACCCCATTCTCAAAAAAGATGATCCTCACGAAATTAGTAACTATCGTCCAATTTCCCTACTCCCAAGTATATCTAAAGTCTTAGAAAAGATCGTTCATAATAGGCTACACAAATTTATCACTAAACACAAAATACTCAATTCAAATCAATATGGCTTCAGAAAAAATTACTCAACTGACTTAGCATTAATTCAAATTTATGACAAAATTACAAGTGCCATAGCTAACAAAGAGCATGTTATAGGTATATTCTGTGACTTGAGTAAAGCATTTGATACGCTCAATCACGCTATTCTACTCTCCAAACTCAGTCATTACGGAATTCGGGGTCAGCCACTCTTATGGTTTAAAGATTATTTAACAAACAGAAGACAATATGTTACATTTAATAGTTGTGATTCTGATCCTCTTGTAATTCAATGCGGTGTTCCTCAAGGCTCCATCTTAGGTCCACTGTTATTTCTTCTTTATGTAAATGATATTATCAATACATCCCCCCTTCTTTCTTTTATCTTATTTGCCGATGATACAAATATCTTTTATTCCCATAAAGACCTTAATTCGTTAAACAATACTTTGAATTATGAAATTAACAAAGTATCAGATTGGTTTAAATCCAATAAACTTTCACTTAATACAAAAAAGACTCATTTCATGTATTTTAAACATCATTCTCATAATACAGAAACACCTATATATATTAAAATCGATGGTATGCTACTAGAGAAGAAAACTAATTCCAAGTTTTTGGGTGTTCTTATAGATGAA